GAGTCGGGGGATAGTGGCTGAAAGAAACCATCGCAGCAGAAGTGAAATAAAGTTGAATGTAAGCAAACAAGTTGAACCAACAAACCAAGTCTCTAATTGTATTTGTGTGCGTACGTGTGTGCAGGGGGGCGGTGGGCGGTGGGCGTGTGCGGCCGGAGGCGTGGCAGTGTGTTTTATGCGGCAAACCGGAACGCACCACTTTGGTGGCTCCATGGCAGCAAAATATGAAGAAGCCAAATCAGCGGCACTGCAAAGTGCAAGAAAGGAGCAAGTCCGAGTCCAACAAGACGTGAAATGCAACTTTTTCGGCACAACGCTCGAGCACAAAAGCCTGGACAAAAAACACACTCCCCAGCGCACACACAAAACACCCAACCTTTCAGCTAACAAAATGCCGGGCAAGTGTACAAGAGCCAAACTAGAATGCCAAACGAAGGAGCCATCGAATCCCTACGAATTCCGCATATCCTCGCCTAGGAGGACCCTCCATTCGTGGCGGTCTTTTGCGGCACGTTGAGGTGGAGCATTCCGGGATCTCGGCCTAAGCCTTCTCCGGCTGCAGCTGAATCCGGATGTCGTCCTTCAAGGAACAGAGAGCAGGAAACAAAATAAGCCATACGCTAGAGGCACCCAGCTCTAGGTTGGTATAATGCGCCTTTGCAATACCTTCTAAAGGGATTATATTTTTCAGAAAAAGTTCTTCCTAGATCCTGAAAGTATGCGAATACTTAATAAAATATAAGAAAATGTTTTAGTGTCAAAGTAGGTATTTAAAGTAACTATTTGTTATGTCTACTTGTTATTTGGCATTTAAATATTTTTTTACTTTAAAATATATTATGTTATCCTTCTTTATTTCTGATATAACATTATTTTAGTAATAATGAGATTTGTTATATTTTATTACGTATACGTATTTGTTACGTATACTTATTAAATGTAAACTATTGAATAAATTTTTAAATTAATAAATTATAAGTCTATAAATATCCCAAAATATGGTCTCTGTTCGTATTATATTTCAGTATTTAAGATCTTTCTATATTTTGAAATAAATATATAACAGATCTCTTGAGATAATGTGAATTTACTATGCATTTACTTATCATCTCTCATCATACAAATTCAGATTTTTATTATAGCCTTTATAAATACATATATTTTTCATTTATACGTATTTTTTAAAATCCGATTTTAAAATATTATTTAATACAATAAATACTTATATTAAATTATAATCGATTTTACAAGGAATGAACATAAAAACCTTCTTATAAGAAGGGTTTACTTCTTCGAAACAAATAACCTCTCATATCATACATGTATTTTCATATTTCTAATTTTAATCCAAAATAAAGAGTGAATCGAAATAAGATAATCAACTGATTTATCTACGCCTTTTCCTCAACAGAGACAATATACCTTTCCATTTTTGGCCAGAACGAAGTACCACAATCCGGAAATGTGGCAACGAAAATGGGACAATCGAAGTGAAAGGGATGTGTGTGAGTGTAGAGAGCGAGAAGAAAGCAGAAAGTAGAGAAAGGAGCAGCGACATGAGTACATTTGTTTATGCCGAACCCGAAAAGATGGAGATGGAACCCCCTCATCCTTCCTTTTATCCTCCTCCCAAAGGACTTCTTTAGCTGGCAAGCGTTGAAATGGAACAAATGAACTAAGTCGAGAATTGCCAACTGCACACTTGAGTCGCACAACGAAATAAACCCCACAAAAGGAGCAGTGACGAGAGTTCCACAGAAGCAGCCCAAACAAATGATTTCACAAGAAAAGTTAAACTTGTAAATTCAAATTTCACATTTGTCTGGAATTCGCAATTACACTTTGGCAACAACAATGAAATATGTCCGTTTGCTACATCGCTACACCTGCCCAAAAACGGGGCGAGCGGGGGGATTTGGATTGGGGTTTTGGGTTTGGGTTCGGGTCCGGGAGTCTGGGTATTTGCCCCTTTAATCCACCGCTCCACCCAATCTGCATGGCTCATTGTTCGGCCTGGCAAATGGAGCATGGAGGTGGATGTTGGAGCTGGAGATTGGAGATTGGAGGTGGAGCAGGGAGGACAGGAACCCGGGAAGAAAGGAGTCGCCTCCTAAAGCATATTGTAATAATCCAAATGAAATTAAATGTACCGTAAACATTTCGAATTACGAGTGTTACAGCAACTTCAAGGTTCTGGTATGCCACAGCAACAACAATGCGAAACGCTATGCTTGAGTTGAACGACCTCAAGATACCTTTTTAAAAATGTAATGCTAACCCATATATGCAATATAATTCTAATTAAATTTGAAAATGAAAATATAAATTAAAGTAAAATCTAATTTGATGTATTTATTTTATTTCTATAATGTTAGAGCTGTTTATAAAACCAAACCTAACATATGTACTTATACAACTTTTCAGGGCTATCTATCTATCTATTTTTGATACATCTAAAGAAAGTTTATATATTTCTAGCAATCTCTTAAAAAAATATATAAATATTTTAAAATCACAACTAATGTTTACAAAGTTAGATAAACATCGTTATAGCTGATGTAAGCTGCTACATCGAGTATACCCTGTAAAAATAGGAACAATAGCAGGTGCAAGCGGTTTCCCAAGAGGCGAGCCAATAAAAATGTCCGTAATTGCAGATGCGAATCATGGTCAGAATTTCGGATTGGGAATGGAATGGAGTGGAATGTACTTGCATATGTTGGGAGAAAGAATTCACATTAGATGTTTGAACGTTGAATGCAAATGGCTAAATTTTTAGTTTTAATTTTGTGAGAGCGCTTTTAAAAATATTTGAACAAAAGATGTAGTCAAATAATCTGTAAAGTGGAACGCCGAGTAAACTGACATTACTTTATTAATAAATATATTAAATTTAAAAAAATCATACGAAACTTCTGTGCTTTTATCAAACCAAAAACAATCTCAGGAATTAAATAACAAATAAGCCTTATTCTCATTATCATGTATTTAATTAAAAACGTTTTTTATTAAGTCTCAAGTCAAACCTAAACGCTATTTCGTATTTTTTTTTATTGAATTCTTTGGCACATTCCTATCAAATAAGCCTGCTCAGCAACCAATCATCATTTCACTCGTAAACATCGCAAATTACCACCCACTGCCAGGTAAATCACCATAACAATATTTCAATCGCTCCCCATCGATCTGGATCCCCCGGCGATTTTGCCAACTATTCAATTGGCTGGACTGCTGGCAAAGCACCATTAAATTAGCGAAATCAGTCGGGCAAAGGAAAAATAAGATCGACTTAAGTAAGAGCCGGCCGACGAAATTACACATTTTACAAGTTTACGAACCACTAAAGAGGATCGTCGGCCGGGCCAAGAGCCTTTTTGGCGGATTTATTTCTAAAACAACTCTATCGCGATCACCTGGCGACGCGGAGCGGCCCATAAAGCCAACGATTTATTGCCCAAGTCGGCAACAATTTGACAAGCAAATTGCTATAATTTCTGGACATTGCAATTGGGGGGATTCCCCCGCAGCCGAAGAATGTTGTTTCGCTTTTTTCGCGCTTTTATCTGCGGAAATTTATGTTGGCGATAAAGCCCCAACGACTACTGGACTGGAACCTCTTCCCGGGCTCTCTGGTTTTCTGGTTCCTTGGTTCTCTGGAGAATCCGAAGCCAGGAATTACTTTGCCCAAGGCTGGCATCTAATTGCTGGTCATTCGGATGGATCGGCGTTGTCCGTTAAATTGCAATAATTTCGCTGGCTATACGAGCTGCCAGGGAATCGGAACCTCCTCTCCACCATTTTCGACCGACCACACATATCACAGAATAGTTGAATGCAGTGCCAAGTTCGCACAAAAGTTTTTGGCGATCATTTGGGCTATTAAATCGCAATTAAATGCGTGACGTGTGGTCCTGCCCGCAGAGGTCATAAATCGCCAGGGAAAATAATACAGAAATGGCAATCATCATTAAAAATGCAAAGAAGCATAAAATTGGCCAAAAGGAAGGAGAGAGGAGCCCAGAAATATAAATGATTTCCTTGGGCATCATCAAAAGCAGCGATAAGGAAATGTTCTTCTTTTCCACACTGATAAAAGAAAGTAGAACGGTTCTCCTATATGTAAGTAGTTTTTACTAATGTACAATTTTACAATTATAGTTAATGCTTTTACTGACATTTAACTTGTTCAATATGCATTGAAAATATTTAATATTTTTTAACTTGGTTCATATATTTTTACTTTAAATCATTTAACTTAAGTGTTTTGTATTAAATTCTGCGTCTAATTTGTATTAAAATTTTTTAGCCAGCATTTTATAGTAATTATAAATTTGTATTTAGTTTATGCATATGTTTATTTTAACTATTCCCCTATTTTTATCAGTGTACTTTTCCTTTTTTCTTTTCGAGTCGTAAAATCGCTGGCGAAAACTCTGCCGACAGTGTCATAAAAATTAAAAGAAAATCACAATTTTGGTTTTGTTTGGTCGCTTTTGTTTTCGTTGCCTTAAATTTAATATCTCTCTGTGAAACAACAAATAAGCTTTTTAAAAGTTACCAAGGCCAGCTCGCATTTTATGCAGACTTTTGCACTAATTGTTGCTCAGTGCGTGCATTTGGGAGTTACGGCAGTTGGGGGTTTGATGGCACTTAGAAAGCCGTTAATCCTAATTTTATGCACCAGGTCGGTTGTCCTGGCCAAGCCAATTTAATGGCTCACTTCCCATGGCTCATAATAATGTTGATTCCTTGCTGATTCATAAATTCACGTTAGGCCGGGAAAAAAGTGAACTATAAATGGGTGGAGGTCCCGGTCCCCGAGCCATTTTAATCCCAACAAAGTAGTGGCCAGAGATCACCTGGGTTTAAATGGAAAAAGGTTTTATTTAATAATAAACTTAGACTAAATACATGTCTAAACAAAGTCACCGAAGTAGGCTACATAAATCCATCAGCTTAAATTTGTTAGTAACAAATATATTTCCTACTTCAACTATATTATTTAAATGCAAGATTCATATTTTCCATTATATCTTCAAGTTTGCTGATTATTCATAAAACATTGTCACTAGTTCTTTCGTTGTATTTTTAAAAATTAAGTTTTGAATTCTCGGGAACATTTTCCAGCACTTTTATACAGTCGCTATAACCGCGTATCGATAGTTGCTATATTGGTAAACCTATCGATAGTTTACTAGAAGAGGTCGAAACATATTTGAGCCCTGTCCAACACTGGAGGACGCTGAAAAAAGTTTGAGCAAAAGTTAGGATCGGTTTGTAATTAAAATTAACCATGTCCAGAGGAGCTGCCCTAAATAGAAACCACAAACTAAACCTTATTTCCGTGAGTAAGGTAATATTTAAAAAGTTCGGATAATCAGTGAGATATATCCTTTCAGCTGAGTATCAACGATTGTTTGGGTTGCGAATCAGTGAACATAAATTTCCCGACCGCCGACAATGTGCATATAATCATCTATGAAGTGTTCAAGGATCTGCCAGTGGATATACCTGCTGTAAGTCCCGTGGGACAGGCCATCCTTCTGCTCTGCTCCCTAACATATCCGGATGAGGAAAGTCTTTCCAAGGTTCCGACGCTGAAAATTGGCAAGGGAAGCGTTTCTATGAAGTTCGAGCTGCATCCCATGGCAAAGGGAGACAACACCCAGATAACCGAGGAGGTGTTAAGCGATCTGGATGAGACGCCCAGCACCTCAAAGCAGGCAATGGAGCGTCTGAAGAGGCGAAATGAGCGCAAGGTCAAGGAGGCCTCCTTGAGGATGCTCCAGTCCAATGTAATCAGTGTGACCGTGAAGCGCCGCTTCGATTCCTTCTCCTCCCTGGACTCTGTGTCCTATCAGATGAATGGGGGCATGAGCGAAACCGCCAGCATCCAGGACTTTCACGCCAAGTTCTTTGTGCGGCCCGAGCACTCCACCAATTATTTGAGGCATCTCTACCAGGAGTGCTCCGGCAACTGGCTGAAGGTCATCCAAAGCGATGGCGGGGGCGACGCCTACAGCAACTTCAAGTAGGTTTTATTAGTCAGGATGTGTAATTTGATTATAAAGACGTTTAGTTTACAAACCATTTTCAACATTATTAAGTTCTAGTTATCATAGTCAAAGTTAATATACCTTTACTTTCAGAGACCCCGACAGCCCCTTCGAGACCTTCGTCAAGCTTTTTGAACGCCAGGCGATGCAACCACAGGATGTGGTCTGCAAATTGGTCAAGACCTGTCTACATGTCAATGAGGCAGTGCGTCTGGCGGAGCGAAAGTTTATATTGGAGGTGTTCGACCAGGTGCGCCGCATATTCGAGTACATCACGGTTAACGAGTACACCGTTTGGTTTTTGGTTCCTTGTCTGAACAATAAGGATCAACTGCGACCTATGGTGAGCAAATATTTATCAGCCCCTGAAAAAGTTTCTTAAGTTACATATATCGTCTTAGAACATCGACGACTTCGATTTAACCAAAGTGAGAACCACTATTCGAGCCGCCGGCGATACAAGCAACATATACTGGGCTTATACTGATCACAATATCCAGGACTTGCTAATGGTGGCCTTTCAATTGGCCCTGGCCACCAATGTCAACCAGTCGGTTCTGATTATCAGCCATTTGGAAACGGTTTGTACTATAATTTATATTATTAATTTATCATTTATATTTATAAATTTGTGTTTATGCTGAAGAGAGAACCTATTTTCCAATTTTTGTTAACAGCTCTCCGATTTTATATCCATGCAATATGTGACGGCCAGTTTTATGAACGATTTCTACATCGAAAAACACTCGGATCCTGTAAGTTCTCCCACATACTAACTTAAACTACTTGCTTTTACAAATATTCTTATCTTTTAGAAATGGATCTGCCATCGCTACCTACAGCGCATCGTGGAGATGGCTATGTTTTTGGGCACAATCGTCATTATTGAGTATCCCAGTGCTTTTACACTGTTGCAAAAAGGTCGCCGGCTGATCAAGTGTTTTCAGAGAAAGAACAGGGGAACTTTGGGTGAAATACGATGGGAAGTGGTTGATGGTGTTGTCCAGGACAACGAGTCTCTCGAGTGTCTGAAGAGGGCCGTCGTCAACAAACAGGAGACCGTGTAGTTTGCAAAATATTTATTAGGTGAGTCAGTCTGTTCCACAAACATGGCATATACCAACTAACTTGCGTGCCATTTCAGCTTCGCCTCGAACCGAATTCATTTATCTGCCGTCTGCGGCTTTCACACGCAAATATTTCCATGCTCATTTTCTAATTACGCCACAGCTCACGGGCCAGCTGGAAACTCATTCTTCAGCTCCATTTCAATTAGGGTTTTGCCGGCTGTCAGTTCGAGTGCCAGTGGTGGATCAGCCGAGGGTCCTTGCGCCACCAGTGCACCACCCCGCACAAATGCAGCAACTACAATGGCTGTCAGGCAAGAGGCACGCGTCATTTGCCGGCGAAATGCATTTTGCGCGAAGCAAGACCATTTTTAGCTAAAATCACCCGGTGACCCAGTTGCTCGGCTGGGCGCCCGGAGATGCATCCTGATGGAATGCTGACTGACTGACTGACTGGCTGACGGACTTGAATGATTGGCGGTTGTTGGGGCAATTCTTTTTGGCGCTGATGGCTGGAAATCATTCTTTCTAAATTTTCCTTTACCATTGTTCTTAAAATTTAAATTAGTGGGCGAGGCGAAGTTTTCTATTTGCTTAGTGTGACAGTTTTTCAAATTGATTATATTTCTGTTATTGTGCTTATCAATATTATTGTATACATATTTTCCAAAGTTTAAATTGATGTTATCACTAAGTGGTATGTATTTGTTGGTCTCAAACCTTTCGATGAAAATGTATTTAATTTTACCAAGTGTTCAAGTAATTTTGAAAGTAAGCCATTTGTTAGGCTTAAGTTTATGATGAAAATTTATTTAATCACTGTTTATTTTCGTAAGATATTGGAAGCAATTAAATCTCTCCATCTTGACACTTTGTCATAGCTGTTGATAGAGAAATTAGTTACGATCTGCGTAGCTGTGGGCTATTTTTGTAATATGCAAATGGCATTTAAAATTTATTAGCGAAACGGGGCCCCAGGGTCATAGTGCTGAGGCAGCTGTTCGTCTACGCAGGTCATAAATAATTAAACGAAAAATGCACTAGACAGGTTTTTGGCCGTGATGCGTGCCACATTTCGCACCTCGTCCACGAGCTCGAGGAGATCGCATGCCGGCACTCAGCCAAATGACAGGCGGTACATGCAGTACCCCCATATAAGCAAACTCCCCATCATCCACAAAGCACATGCTGTTCATTAATTGCGCAAGAAACAAATGCTGCATTTGCCACTGTGAGTTTTCTTGCGTTTTGCAATTTTGTGGCTGCCTTGGGTTCGTTTTAGTTTTGGGTTTTTCTGCTCCGGCAATCGGAAAGTGCACACAAAACTCCAGAGAGAAAGTGCTCTTGTTCATGAACAGCAAATTAGTTCCTGCTGAATATTATTTGATGGTTTTTAAGGGCAGGCAGCCGAGAATACGAACGTTAGAAGAACTTAAATGCAAATTAAATGGCAATGAATGCCATTAACAGAGAGTTTTGCTCACTTTCAATTTAATTTAGTCTGCATCAAGTGTATGAAAATGAATTTTAATTTCAAACGAAGAGGCTTATGATGAAAAACATAGAGAGAACGAGGTAAAAGATTATTTTCAGTTTTAATAAATTGTATCTAACCATATTTTAAAACCATTTTTATATATGTAAAATGTACATAAATGTTGTTCGTTATTATAAATTGATGAGTGTACTTCTGCGCCTTCTTAAGTTTCTTATGGACTTTTTTTGGGCAGTCAGTAATTATACGGGACTTGGGTTTTAAAAGCTGCCACATGGCGGAAGCTGCCCTTTTTTGTGACCCTCTCTACCTATTCCTTCTCAGGTTTTCGGGCGACCTTTGACCCAACCCTTACCCCTGCTCACTGACCGCTGGCAGCTGCTAAAAGCGCCAACGAGTATTAAAAACTCGTTTCGACTAAATATTTAAACAGTTTATTATGCTGGGGCCCCGATGCCGTAACATGCCACACATGTGGGCGTGGCAGAGCCACCCACCGCTAGCTACCCCCCTTTCTTTTGCCCCGCCGCCCCTGCGTTCTATGTAAAATGGCGCGTGCATTGCGCCAAAAGGAAATTCAAATTTGAATTAATTATGATGCCACGCCTGGATGCAGGTCCCCATGTCCTCGTTCCCGTGTCCTGGCAGATATTGCAATTTGTTGCTGTTTTTGCTGCTGCCATCGCGGTTCTGCGGGTCCCTGGGTCCCCCGATCTCCGATCCCCCTCCATTCCGCATGGGCGGGGCATTTGTTGCATTTACCAAATAACAAATAATAGCACTTACCGTCCCTGGGGGCGCGAAAGTGTGTGTGCGGGGTGTTTGCGGGAGCTGTTATTTAATTTTTTGTTTAACAAAATGCAAACAACATAAGCAGCTTGGCGATGGGTTAAGGTCTCCGCCCGCGAATGAAATGTTTTGGAAAATTTGGCCAGCAAACAAGGGCTTAAACAACTCGTGTGCATGAAGTGGGCTTTAAATTGAATATAAATGTACAGCAGTATTAAGGATAAAACAAATATTAAGAGTCAATTTTGTAATGAAATTATTATAACCGACTATAATATCGAGCTTAGCTAGGAAATATATACATATTTAAAAGTTATATTTACCCTTATTTTAATAAGGTAGAGGATACCTGTAAGCCGAATACCCAAATGCTATACCAAAATTCCCTTAAGTTCATTTCTCCATAGTTATACCTCAAGCTTAACTACCAAATACATACATTTTCAAAATAGTATGATAATTAAAAATCGTGAATAGTTCTAATTACCTTTCCTTTTAGAAGGTGGGTAATAAAGGTAAACAGTAATAAAGGTAAACAAATTCCCTTGAGTTAATTTCTCCATAGTTTTCTCCAGTTCCCCTACAGTTTCCAACGCAATTTAAGCTTGAAACGAAAATTCTCCTTCCTGGTGGAAGTACCTCCCACAAGGTCATTAACATTTAAGTGATCAAAGCAGCGAGGTGAGCGGCACAGGTGAAATCAACCATTTAATTCCTCCACCAGCGAGTAGAGCCACAAAAACAGTCAGCCACAAGAGCAACAATCGATGAAGGCCAAAAAAAGGAATATCAAAATGTGGCGCACAAAAAGAGGCTTTAATGGGATGTTTGATGAAATACCAAAAAAAAGTGGTAAGGTAAATCTCTTTAAGCAAGACCTTAAAGATACCCTCTAATTATTGCCATATATAATATTTAAAAATATTTTGATACCTTAACAGATCTTTAAAAAATAAATTCATATTGTAGATTAAAAATAAAAATACGATAGATTGTCTAGAGTTCTGTGATTTAGTGAATAGATTCCAATATATTACTAGCTGAAAAATATCAGAATCAGACAATTCAAATATCATCCAATACTAGAAATTATAGTTCAAAATGGATAGATGGTCTAGAATTGTGGGAGTAATATTTTGACTTTGTTAATAGATCCCAAGTTATTGCTGTTTCTTATCAAGAACTTTTTTACTAGTTCAACGTACCCTACAATTTACTATAGAAGAACAGGGTATTATAAAAGTGCGCGAAAAACAGCGAAAGAGTGAGTTTGCTATCTGCATTTGCGTTTAATTACGAAATAATCCAAAGCGAGTGAGGCACAGGAAAATCGATGGGTGGTGTGGTGATGGTGATGGTGATGATGGGTGGTGGGTGGTGGGCGTTGGGTGCTGAAACCAGGATGGGTGGCGGATTCAGGGGGATGTGGCGGCCCATGTCAGCGCCAATGATCCAGCAGTGGACAGGCCGTTGACGTTGCTAACCCAATTAAACTGTCGCCCGACTGAACAGATAGCATCCTTACACGCCCCCTTGAAATCCTGCTCCCCAGTAGCCCCGTCCATCCACTCCGTCCCCCCAGTTGAAATTTGGCCCTTTGGCCAACCGAATGAGAAGCAACTGTTTGGTCTCCTGTGGACTGGCACTTTGCCCAAATAAACCGCAGGAGCAAAAGCCACGCTTCACGCCTTTCCCCGCCCGAATTTTCCCGCTGCTCGCTCGCTTCGCGGCGCTTCAATAGCAATTTGGCTAAACTCCTTTTTAATTTCGACCGCACTTCCGTCTCACCGCAGTCGACGCCTTCGAATGGAGCCGGACTCAGAGATGGCAGCGTGAGAAAAGGATCCATCGAAATGGATGTGCTTACGGAGAGATATATCCCCATAAAAAGTACCGAAACCGTGTGAGATCTACGCTTAATGAGATATTAGCCCTGTATTTTAGAACTATCAATATATGTGTATATATATATGTTTCAAATTAGAGGGTCCATTTGATTGTCATTAGAATTTTTAATTTAGAAACTAATAAATATTTTTTGTTCTGTAGATTAATGCCTTCATACTGATGTCCATGAAATATATCATCCTTTAAGAATAAAAACAGGGAAAGTAAATATTTAAATTATATAAAGTGTAGAATTTTATTTTTATTTTTAAACGTTTGATTAAACTGTCCCATAAATATATAAATTCAAAACCCTCTAAAGCCTGTTAAATATCGTTGGTTTTCTTTCTATTCCCAGCTTCTTTTCACAGCTGCGACCTGAAATTGAATCGAATGTTTTGTTTTAGTTATCGCTCTGCCTTCAGAAAAGTCCCCTTCTCGGGATTAGATTTTAAATTCCTGTGGCAGGACAATTTTCAAACGGACAAACGGGGAAAATTTCATTAGCATCTGGCTAGACATCATCTGACGAACAAAGGGCGCTGAAAAAGAAATCCCTGGGATTATACATTTTATTCAGTCTGTCTGGGCCAAATCAAATTTGGCTAAATGTGCGCAGCGTGTCTTGAAAATCTCGGCCGGGAAAATCCCTCTCAATTTGAAGCTCTTTTAATTGTCTTCTCGGGAGGCGTTTCTCTGCTACATTTGTAATGTGCAAATATGCGAATATTGTTTTTTCCTTTCTTCAGAAACATACATACCAGGCCTTATATACTCGCAACTTTCTCTGTTTATTCTCAACATTTTGTGTTGACTTTTATCAGCGGCCTTGAGCGGGTTCAAGACACTTCCTTCTCAGCTGCCAGCCGACTTTTGTTGAACTTCATCAAAGTTGGGCAAACAAATGCATTTCTCTGGTGCTTATGCAATTATCCCGGCCAAAACGAGAAAATTCCTCGTTTTCAGCCCTGTTTTTCTTGCCAAATTGTTTACACAATCGAACAAATTCCCTTTGCCCGGGTTTTAGTAAAGCATTTTTAATTAGCCTTCGTTGGGTTTTTCATTGATGATTGATTTTTGGGCTGCACAAAGGGAAACAACCCAAAAGTCAACAAATATTTTGATTTAATTAATGTATAATGTAGATTAATGTAATACCATTGCGAACGTATTTTGTAGACTCAACAAATATACTACTTAATAACAATAGATACGAGCAGCTCACGTAAATAAATACTTTTTTCAAAGGCTTTTTCAATTACCATTAATATTCCCCGATGTTTTTGCAATTTTTTCCCTTGCGGGCTGGATAATATAATATTTATTAAGTGTAAATAAGATTGCTGTGAATTGTGTTGCACATTTGGGAATTTAATTATCGGCTTTTTGTTGGGCCTCGATGGCTTTAAAGTTTTTCATTTGAACTTAATTTGATGAAAAAATGAGGAAAAAACAACAATTGCCAATTATCAAAATAACAATTATAGCCAAATGAGTAAAGTAAGTTAAGCGTGAAATTGCAAAAAATTCAATTTAAATAGTTTGTTTACGTACCTTTTTGCCCTAGAATATATATTTTTCTCTTATTTCAAATGGCCTTTTAGTTGCCGCAATTTACTTGATGCGAGACAAACATCAGAAATTAGAACCCGCTGGCGAAACATTCGTTTCATCACGGCTGAAAGTGATCCATGGGCGGTGGGAAGGGGGTGGCTTGTTTCGGATGAGACATAGCACAGCATGCTGTTTCCTCCGGGCCCAAAGGAGCATCCTTTGTTTGTAATTAATTTCAATATAGCAAGGCATTACAAGGGAAGCTCAGTAAATTTCAAAGTATGCTGCGAAGCCAATAAACTCGGGCGAAGGGCTTCCAGGGGCGTAGCGGTGGGTGGTGGGTGCTCGAGGGGGTTCAAACACTCGCAAACACATGGTGTGTAAAATACATTGTGAATATTGCACACGAGACGCGTGAGATGAAAGAAAATGCTAAAATTTAAACCTGAAAACACGTGGTAAGGAGGGGAAAGTTCAGTGGGTCGGTGGGGGCACTTTTCCCCCCCAAACAGCGGCGTATTACTTGGCCCATAAAAGTAGTTAAATTATGTTGACTGAAAAACAGCGTGTGTGTGTGTGTGCAGGGGGCGTGGCATTCCAGGGGCGGTGGGTGGCACCGCACCCCCTCGCAAATACCGATTCGTACTTTTGCGCCAAAGCAGATAAAAGTAACTTGCTCTTCGCCATTTTAGTTAAAATATTTGCACGTTCGCAGGGATTGCACGTCCATGGACGAAAAGGGGGCCACTGTTTGGTTTGCTGTTCATTTTATTGGAATTCCCGCTCGCATATTGGCTGGGGAATTGTTTCGGTTGCCACCGCCTTTTTCGATCCGCAGCTTTAGTCTTTGCCACAAAATCCACACAACAGGGAAACCATCAGTGCGCTTGATTTAACTTTCATACAAATCCGATAATACCAAGGTTCGAGGGCTTCCCATTTGCATACGTTTTTAATTTTGTGAATGTAATTTAAGTAACTGAAAATGTTTGAACATCTCACGAAATCCTGTCGGGGATTATGCTTTAACTGGGTTAAAATAGAGTCTGCTTTAAAGTATTTGAATCCCTTTACTACTCCGCTTAGTTAACAAAAATGTACCCACACTTTCTAGTGCTAAAACCTATTTAAGTTTACCATGTGAGATAGAACATCGTACGCGCTTTGAAATGTATGTCAATCTCCACATTAAGAGTTATTCATATGTTTGTCGCCAAAGAACTTTACTATAAGCAATTTTTATAAATCAAAGAGACATAGCTGTATTACAATTATGTATCAATCAAACCAAAAAAGCGCAGAGCAGAAGAAGGTTTACGAACTGCCTGATCCGCCCACCGATTCCGTTTCTGCCCTGGAATTCGCACCGGGAACGAGTTCCTGGAACGCCATCTTCGCCGGAAGTTGGGATAAGTCGGTTCGCATTTGGGAAGTGCAATCGGATAAGGTGGAGCCCAAGGTCATGAAGTCCCTGGATGGCGTTCCTCTGGATGCCGCTTGGAACGATTCGGGCAGTAAGATATACCTGGCCGATACCAACGGCTCCGTGATCGAGTGGGACTTGGAGTCCAATCAGCTGAGGAAGGTGGGTGCCCATGACCAAGGAGCACGCACTTGCCATTGGGTGGGATCGTACCTGATGACTACCTCCTGGGACAAGACCATTAGGGTAAGTATCAAGGAAATCCTATACTTAAATTTTACATTTTATGAAATATGATCCAATGAAAGTAAAAACATATTTTTGATAAAGCATTGATTTTTAACATAATATATCAGTGGTCTCTAGCAGCACGGTCTACCCACGGGATACGAACCTATGCTTGTGCTCTGCTGGTGACCACTGATTTAACTAATTTCTCATGCTATCATATTATTCCCCTGTTTCTATAGTTCTGGGATCCGCGCACATCCTTTGAACTGGCCAAAAAGGATCTTCCAGAGCGCAGCTTCGCCGCCGATGTCCTCCATCCAGTGGCAGTGGTGGCCTGTGCCGATCAGTCCGTCCTGGCCTTCAGCCTGGATGGAGGACCCGTGGAGCAGGCGCGACTCAAGTCCCCTGGCCTGGGGAATCACCAGGTGCGATCCCTGGCCATCTTTAAGGCCAAGCAGACGGGTCAAACCAGCTGGTTCCTGGCCAAAACAAACGGCATGGTGTACGAACAGAGTTTGACCAAGAGAAGCGGCTGTGTGCCCACCAGGTGCCATCGCTCGGAGGCTTTAAATGGTTTCCTGGACACCCATGTGGTGAACGAGGTGAAGATCAACAGGGTCACGAACAACATGGTCACCGTGGGATCCGATGGGGTGTTCTGCTTTTGGGGCAGCGGGATGACCGGCAGGTTGATGCAGAGCCAAGTGCATGATCAACCGATTACCAGGTGCTCCATCAGCGGCGATGGTCAGATCTTCGCCTATGCCCTGGGCTACGATTGGAGCAAGGGATTTGAGCACTTCGATCCCAACAAGAAGCCACAAATATTCCTACGACCCTTTGCGAATTAGGTAACTTTGTAACCTAAGCTTATCTTATATAAATAGTTGTTAGTTATCGAACTTATACCTATACTATTTCGAAATTTTCTGTGAAATTGCCTGCTCTTTTGGGCTGTACCATTTCTGATGCAATTAGCTAAGCTCTGTGTCGGCTCAAGTTTGATTGAAATATTGCAGACAATTTCGCATGCAGCTCAAGTTGGTTTCCTGCCTTCCAGAGACCCGAAACTGCTCCTTCTGCTGTTATCCTGCTTCCCGTTTGGCGACAATTAACAAACAGTCAACTAATGCTCATAATGAGCTTGCATGCGATTAATTTTCCACTTGAGCTGTTGAATTTCACGCAGCCCCTCGGCCCGATTCCTTGCCCCATCCCGAGTGCACTCCATAAATCATATTCCATTGTCGGCGGCAGTTCCATCGGAGCAGGGAGAACAGAAGTCGGGTCTTATCTGGTCGGAGAATTAGGAGGTGGCAATCGGCTCCATCTCCCAAGCCCCGAGTCCCCCACTTAATGCCTCTTGGAGGAGCCGGGCTCCGCATATCAGAGACTCACGTCAGATGTCACTAATCTAAATTTATGCAAATTGCCAACTGTCTGACTTGGCTCACATGCGATTTCCACTGCCGCCACCGGCAGATTCCAAATGCAGATCCGGAGCGGGGAGTTGAAAACTACAAACTGAATACTGAAAAACTGAAAGAGACTTTGCAACAGTTGTAAAAATGCAGCTAAATTCAAATTTGACATGCAGCAAAGTCCGACTTGGAGTTAAAGTTGGAGGAGGAGGTCCGGAGCATCCGCAGATGGAGGATTTTCGCGGACTGCATTCATTTGGGATGCAGAGCAGCTAGCTGCTACCAGTTACCAGTTACCAGTTGAATCAGCATCAGTTCGCCTGGCAAGCTCTTATTAAATTAAAACGAAGGCGTTTAAGTGCCGCCCCGGGGCTACCATGCCAAGATTCAGAGACTCAATCTGATATGCAAAACATTTTTGAAATAACTCAGCCGTAAACAGTTTCAGCCGGAGCTCGGTGGATTCCAAGAGGGGGCGGCGGATCGGGGCCCCATGTCTCAGCCGAGCTCATCTCAGAACTTCTCTCAAGCTTAGCCAAATTAATTGAAAAAGTTACACGCATCGCTAGCTCCTCCTATCCAGATTCTCCTTGTTCTCCAGGTTCAGCTCCTCCACATCCTCCTCCACCTCCAGGAGGGCAGCTCGCCAAAGGAGTCGGAAACATTCCAGTTGGCCGAAGGATTCGCACTTGATTAGTCGCCCGGTTGGAGGAGCGATTGCAACAGCGATTTCTCGATTTCGTTTTCATTTAAAAAAGGTCCTAAACAAGTCAAGCAGGGTTAAAGTTCAAGTCAAGCTGAATAAAACTGTCTTGGCAATACATTTTATGAATACATACTTTACTTACTTTACTATTAATAACCAATACTCATCCAATACATTATAATATATCAAATACGGCATACAGAATTAAAAACTCCAAGCAATTTTTCTTACAATACACAAGTTTTTTAGAATTTAGAGTAAATTGGGATTTTTGTATAAATTAAACAAGTTACCTACTCCAAAATAACATTTTTTCATAAAGTAAGTTTATTGTTATGAAATTTTGTTTAACATAAAGTAAATTTTCAAGGTAAAAGACTTTTCAAAATAACATTTTTTTTCGATTAACATTCTAAATAGATATTTGAATTGGGATCAACAAGTTCATAATCAAAGTAGTAGCTTTAAAATTGTATGGACCAAATTTATCCTAAGATGAACTAGACCTTACGTTGATAGAAACATTAAAAAATCTGTACCACTAATGTGAAGTTAATGTAGATTAAAAAAAAATGTTTTCAATGGACTAGGAGTACGATTACTAAATACCTTTTTTCTTAAAACTTAATTGTAAATGTCGAATTTTAAAGATTATTGCTTTATTTTTTGGGGAGTTGTGCAAATACACGTTTAAATGGGTTTTAAAACCAAACCAAAACCACCTTATATGTTTCGACCTCCTTTATTGATTCCTGAGTTATTGTTTTTAAGAACTTCCCGATTAGGTCTCCCCTGGTTGGCAATGTTTTGAGAGCTCAAGCTGGATGTTGGCTCAGTGCGCATTGCCTTTCGGTTTCATTATCGCGAACGCGGCACGCGATGCCAGAAAAGAGGGCCAAAAGCAGAACCAAAAGCGAAATCCGCACATTGGCCGCCGTTTACAAGTCGGCGCGTTTGTAATCGCTTGCAGCTCCACTTTCCCCCTGTGCCCCTGTTGCCCCCAGCCAACTTGCAACATCCAACAGCCAACTGGCACTTACGTGCCCATATGCAAAGCGACAAAGTGTGAAATTTCACTGAGCGTTGCCCCCACTTGGAAATCGCGGGACGGAAAAGCTGGGGAGGATCGGGAATCACACGTGTGTGCGTCTGGAGGGAAGATTCCAGTTGACCAGCTGCCCGTGTTTGCATAAGCCCTCCGAAAATACCTGATACGGACCAAGTTCTCTCTCCTGGCTAATTAATGCAGCACTGGGGATTTTCTAGCTTAAAAGGTCTGATGGGAAAAAGAAATTGATTGCGGGGAAGAGAACCGATTCCTAAAAAGGTCTTGTAAAGAAATGGAACTGATCTTAACATTTCCCACTTAAAAAAAATTAGAACGTTTAAATTTATGTTTTGGTATTACGTAACTACATCTGTTTTATATTCACAACTTATCTGTCAAGATCAATAATTAATGCATGTATCATTATAACCGTTAAATAATAGTATATAATCTAATGTTAGATATTAAAAAATGCAATGGAGTGAAAAAAGAACGTAAAAATTATGGTTTTCACATCTTGAACATATTAAAGTGATACGAAACACGATAAAAACGATGATATACAACCTAGTAACTAGATCTTGGGGACATAGAGCAGCCATAGAGAGACGGTAAATTAGTTGTTCAACGTATCGCTGGCTGCACAAAGAGCTCCCACTTTCGGCCAACATTTGTCAGCGGCTTGCGCCCTTACTTTATTTGCACTTGTCTTTAACTATATACCCCCGTTTTGCCCATCTAAGATGTAACAATTTCAACCTATAATTTATTCAGCTAAATCCTTTTGCCGCCACGAGCCAAGCAAAACGAGCGGAGCAGTGAAAATAAATTAAATGGAAATCATTTGTCTTGCTCAACAAAATATCACGCAAATGGGCGAAGGAGGACTTCCCTTTCCCTGGTTTCCCTGGCACCCAACAAGTGGCAGCTCCGGGGGAAATTTGCATAAAGAAATAATATTCATTGTGTGAGGGAGAGGACTGTGCAAAAAGGATTTGAACATGTCAAAATTGTCCTTGACGGACGCTAAAGTGGATAAGATGATTTTCTTTTATTCCCCTCGGACTTAACCCACGTTAAAGTTCTTTATTTTCGTCCAGATCCGTTGCTCCGTTTAAAGACGCCTGGAAGTATGCAACAATTTCGGGGGCTTCTTCGCCTGACCAGTCGACTGTCGGCTGCTAAACCTTTGGGGCTTATCACAACTTAACTATATATCCGCTCCGTAGCTTGGCAATTTTCTCGGGCCACGCCCACATAAACAAGGCATCCGGCGGTCGAAACTATCTGAAAATCTCAGTCGGGCCAGAAAGGGGCGATTAACAAGATTAAAAGCGCCATTAAATGCTTTGATTCGGTTCTGGCTAAGACCACGCAACCGCAGATACGCAAATGTGTACGAGGATGTGGGGATGTGTGGCTACAAAGATACTTTGGGATGAACACAGGAGGTGGAGTCCAGAAGGCGCACCCAATAATTTATCCCCTAACCCAGAACACAGGACTGAAAGCCCGCCTCCCAGAAATCTGTTTCTTGCTTAAGGGAACACATGTTTGCGGCTGCAGCCACAGCTGCCAGGCGAATGTATCCCTCGGATACAGATACAGGAATGCCATCTGCTCCCTGGCCAGGACGTAAATTACGCAAAATTTGCTGTTAAGTAGTTTAGCGCCAGCGGCAGATACATTCGCATCCCGGAATCCCCGAAGTTCCCCAAATCCCTCAGATTGATTTAGGTTGCGGGTTAAGCTCAACACTTGATCTCGAATCCCGAACTAAATTATATGTTTGGGGTGGGGGAAAAACCTGTTCGGGCCCTGATGGGATTAACCAAAAGTTAGACACCACATAAAAGTTGGAGTTTTGTTTGCTCCGCAAATCCGAGAAATGTATCTCTTGATGTCGCGTGTTTAGCTTTATAATCCCAAATTAAATTGAAACAATGCTAAAAGCGAGTCACACATTTTTAATTGTTAATACATAAATGTTGGCAAACACAAAAATTTTTGCTCTTCCAATTTTAATATGCTTATGTTTAGTAATTGGCAAATGCAATGTGTGAAAAAGTTCGGAGGTGAGCAATATTTAGAAATGAAATGAAACAAAATCCAATTTGAAATGCAAATAAAACTAGCTTTTGCTTTTAGGTTTGACAAACAGTGCGTTTCGGAAGTGTAGAATTCTTTGGAAAATTCGTTTAACATAAAAATTTCAAGTTTTTAAAAATCTTTTCTTGAAATTTGAAGAATTTGTAGTATTTTTTAACAAAACATTATTAGTTTTTCTACAATTTTTATGGTTTTAATGTCATTCAATGATATAATACACAGTCAATGGCCCAAAAAAAGATATATATACTAAATAAATATTTTCAGAAATAATAATTTAACAACGTGTTAGTTTTACTCCGTTTTTATTTCGTAGATTTACAACTTCGTCTTTAAGCGTTTCCAAAAACATGCAACATTTTAAAGTGAAATTTATTGCATTTTCAGTTTCGCAACTGTTTGCCGGAATTTAGTAATAAATGAAATTAAACAATAGAGCGAGGCAGCCGGCGCTAAATTGCATTACAGTCGCCGCGAAAAGTGGCAAAGGGCAGTGGCATAAATGGGCAAAAATAATTTAATGGCGAATTGCAGGAGCATTAAGCCAAAAAGGGCGGGCGGCGGGCA